AAGCATGTGAGTGGACAGTCCACCTAAATGTGTGGCTGAGAACTGCAGGATACTGATGGAGTAAATAGCTTATAGTTTTGACTCCTGTACTTCTACGGACACTTGTTGGAGCTACAGAAATACTCTTTGTTTCAGGCATCTTTACAGACCAGGTCAGAACATGGCTATAATTTATGCTCCTCATTAATCTCCCAGTAAAGCTACCATACATTGTGGCCTGGACATGAGCCTGGGTGCACGCAGAAACTGAGCAGAGTCTGAGAGAATCCAGACAGTTACCTACTTAAAAAGATGACCCCAAAACAACAAAGAAAAGTTGCATGAAAAATCTTACATCAGTGCACGCTGAATATCCTGTGCCAATCCAAGTAAGAACTGGCAACTCCTTACGTGCTCTGCCTAGTCGTTGAGTGTTGTAAGCTGGCTCCTATAAAACAGGATTGCCTGTGCATAAATGTTTTCTGTTGCTTTTGGTATCCCATGGAACAGATAGTTCTGGAGTACAGTTAAATGTGGTCTAGATTTCAGGGCTTATTCCTTGCCAAGAGTATAGGTGAAGCCAGTACAATTTGCTTGCACTTGACAGCAGGAAAAGATTATTATGCTTCAAAACAATGAAGAGTTTTTGCACAAGAAATGTCTGTTCATGTACATATGCAAAATAATTAGTTGCATCACATCCTTTCCCTCCACATCTAACAAGTCCAGATGCCACTCTGCCATGCATAAAGAGGCTCTGATCAGCACCCTGTCACAGAAGGGAAGGCTTCCCCCTTCTTATGTATCTGGGAGAGAAATGAGAAGCAATTCAAGGGAAGGAAATGGTACCAAGGGAAACTGTGGGGGGAAAGAAGATTGGAAAGTGTGAAAGAAATACTCCATAGGAACATCTTCAAAGATGCGAAGTGCAGGAAGCAGCTGGAGGAAGCTACAGATGTGCTGAGCAACTGCTCTGCGTAAGAAGAGAGCAAATGCTTTTCCACATAAACCAATGTTTTTACAGAAGAAGCACAGGGAATTTGGGGAGGATTGCCTAACCAGTTATAGGAAAACAGTTTTATCTACACAGTCAGTGATTCACAAAGGCTGTGCAGGATGAAGAACCAAGCTGGCTCTCCCAGAATCAAAACAGAGATTGTATGACAGGAAGAATGTCCCCCCTGGGCTGTGCTTCCCACGCTGACAGCAAGGATGAGAAGGACAGGTGCTGCTTTGTTCATGGCTTAGTTGCTGTAGACACCTCACCAAGCTCAGGTTCCCCACGTCACAACAGTTCTGAGTGTGCACGTTACTGATGAAGCTGCGCTGCTTCCCATGTATAGCCTGATCAGCCTTTGGGTACTCATTTCAGAGGACTGGAGAACTTATCTTATGCCCTGGATCAGAGTTAAGCATTGGTGCTGCTGTAACTGTGTACCTGTTTATGGGGAACTCCACTGTTTCCCAGAGAACAGTATTTCTAAACTCCTAAATTTTGTGGTGTAGCACTTCAACATCTGCAAATGTTATCACCACTATACTTGTGGGCAAGGTCAGGTAGACCAGTGGTTAACTTATTCTCAGCGAAAGTCACTGCACCCATCTAGGTGCCTTAGAAGGTCAAATCATGCAATGCTCATGACAGGCACCTTGAGGTACGGTTCTGCAAGATAATCAGAGTAAAATAAAACTTAGCTATTTTGTCCTGGATGGCTATAGCTTTGGGCAGAGGTGTGAATTGCAGACTGAATTATAGTTAAAAGTGTCTCAACAGAGAACAAACAACATTGCACAAAGCTATAACCGTAGCTAAGTACAAGTTCTGAGGTGATATACAAACACACACACACAGAGACAGCTGAGGTATCCAAGTATGGAGCTGCAGTTAGAAGTACAGCCAAACCTGAAATGCCTGCAAATACTAGTTAGGCTTTGAGTATTTATCTAACTGTTCCTTTTCCAAGCATTTGTTCCCCTTTGCTGTATATTTTTTTCCAAACTTGTGTAACATTTTGTGATTGACTCTGCCATACTTATTAACACTAAATAAAAAAGCAATTTATTCTATGAATAGTCCCATCAGCATCAATGGCACTATTCAGAAGTAAAATAGAGCTCAAAGTAAGAGAGAGAGAGTTGGACTGTAGGCTCTTTGATTTTATGTTTTTGTTAATTGCCTAGCACATTTCTGGGAATATCATTAAAAGGAAGTTCCATGTAACTTACTAACTTTCACACTACAAATACTGTTCTAGCAGCCCGAATGTCTCAAAAGTATTATTTAGCTCATGTAATATACAGGACAGAATAGACAGACGGAGAATTCCTGTAGTTAATACAGCATTAAACACTTATATATATACACATATAATTTTCTGAACAGCAGATTGGCTCAGAAATTCTATTCTAAAGGTCATGTATGAGGACATTTTTGTTATCCAGTATTTGAAATTTCCTATGTTACTTTATGCCTGGAATAATTACATCATCTTTTTAAAATTAATTTGCCAAATGAATCATGATTCTGCCTTATGATTTTTGTCATATTAAGGACATTTCCTGCTTTTTCCTGCTGAAAATTTAAGCATTTATGGGAAACCTCAAAGCTATGTGACATGTGGAGCTCAACATTTTCAAATAAAAAATAGTGTTCACAGCTGACAGTCAACTCATGAAGCCTTCAGTGGCTAGAACTGTGGTAGCATTAGGTAGATGAAAGCACAGAAAATTGAGCACTGCATTGATTCTTTGCAGCTGTATCACTGACAGGAGTAAAGATGAGGCCAGCTTGGACCACACAAAAGGTACTGAACAGCTTGTACTCAATATAGTTTTGCTGCTGTGTGACTGAACAGTGAAATTCCTATATTACAAACAGATTACCAAGCCTTTTCTCATTGTTTTATCTTTCCATTGCTTTTCTCCAAACATTTAATAAACCAGAAGAAAACTTGGCTACTACATAGGAGAGAACAATCCTTGCTTTTGTTGGTTCAATCTTTAGTACAGTTTTGCTTACTAAAAAATCTCATTTATTTAAAAAAACACAAATATTTGGGTTCCAACTGAGAGACTGAGAAGGTATTTTGGCTTTTTATTAGCCCATTTTTTAAGCCACTCTGAGTTTTAATCGTGAATTTTTTAAACTGAAGTAGTAACAGAAAGGACCACCTTGCGCAGGCACTTGATAGGAATGCTTGCACTAGATTTTATTTTAAAGAATTATGAACTTCTGCACAATTTTAAAATTTTATTTTAAATGAACTGATAATAGCAACACAAAGATGTAGTATCTCACATCCCTTTGGTGCAAGATGATCTCCAAACACTGTGACAAAGCCTGTCTTTCCTTTATCTGGGTACATGTAGATAAGATACAGGCAGATAAGACATATATGCATCCATTAGCAAGAATAGTCATAGCACCGACTAATATATACAACTATTGCAGAGCTAAGCCAACGGTTTCATCTCTGCCTTTACTGCTTCACGAATCTGCCAAACATGACACAAGCACCTGGCCTGATCTAATACCAGCTTCAACAGTAGTCCAGTAACCAGCAGCATCTAGGACACAAGGCCATGTACCAAAAGTGGAGCTAATGTGTTGTGACACTGCCAGAGGTGCACTTTTCACTCAATGCAGCCCCATTCCAGGCACATTTGCCTGTTGAAGTTTAATGCTGTGCCTATCCACTAACTGAGCCTTGGGTCACCAATATGCCTGATGACAGATACATCCATGAGCTGGAAGAGAAGAAACTCAGGGGATACAGAACTGATGTTCTGATACGCAGAAGAAGGGAAAGATGGTACCTCCTGTGGAGGTATCTTTGGAGTATCCTCACATATTTTTATCTTTATCCAAAGATAACTTTGGAGTATCGGAGTCCCTAGGGCATACAGTCCCACCACTCTCAGAAACTTTTGTAAAATGTGTATTCCTCTCCACGCTCTTTATCAGCAATCAGTAGAAAAACAAGGGACTGAATATCTCTTGCCCTCTACCCTTTTTAACTCTTCATCAGATTGAAAATGCTGTTTTTTTCTCCAGTGAGCTCCCTGAAGCTATGCTAGAGCTCCTGGCGGAGCTGGATGAAGAATCTCTTAACTGACAACCAGTAAAATTTCAGGGGATAAGAGACTGCAGTTTGGATTATACAACAAAAGATTATTCATCAGCAGACTAGAAATGCCTCAAAATGCCTCAAAAACAAAAAAAGATGCCAGGAAGAATAAATACTGTAAGCTTAATTTATAGGAATAACAAACAAACAAGAGGTGGTGCCACTCCGATTCCACAGAGGAATTTAAGCTTCTTGTCTTTTAACACTAGCTTTACGAGACAGCATGATGCAATATTTCCTAACGGTTCTTAATAATGATATTTGAGTTCACACAAACAAGTATATCTACTTTCCACTATTTCTCACAGAATTGCAGAATCACAGAATGATTTGGTTGGAAGGGACCTTAAAGCCCATCTAGTTCCAGCCTCCTGGCCATGGGCAGGGATCCCTTCCACTAGACCAGGTTGCTCAAAGTCCCATCCAACCTGGCCTTGAACACTTCCAGGGATGGGGCATCCACAACTTCTCTGGGCAACCTGTGTCAGCGTGTCACTACCCTCACAGTGAAGAATTTCTCCTGCTCGAGCTTTTTCAACACTATGGTACAGGGAGAATAAAATGTTTTTGGATTAGAAGAAGAAATAAAAAGGGGAGTGCAAAAATATCAGTGTTGCAACCAAGATATGTACCTATTTTAGTGATTTGGAGTGGATGATGTGCAACTGAATATAAATATGAATATACATATATATATACACACACATGCACATACATGAACACAAACACATAGCAGAACAAAAGACAAATGCTCCAGTTTTATCCTAGAACAGATCCTCCATGCTTTGATGTCAACATTATCCAGAAGGATGTCATTTGATGCATTTCTTTAATTTGACAAGGTGACAATTCCACTTGCTTTTCAATGAAAATAAAAAAAAAAATCTCACTTACCTACACACACACGACCATCAACTCCAACAGCCAAGCCAGGTGGACACTCACACCGAAAGGACCCTTCAGTATTTATGCAATGACCATTCATGCAAATTCCTGATGTCTGGCATTCATCAATATCTAACAGGAGGCAACTCAATTCAACAATCTATTCACTGTTTTTAAGCAAGATTACAAATAATATTTTAAGAAAATTAAGAAAATTACTTTATGATAGCAGATGAATCACCAACATATCCTTGTTTTGTTTCTAATAAACATCTAATCTTGGAATTACACTAAATAATCAAAATTCCAGCTGCACATTAAAAATAACAAAACAAAAACAACTCAGGAAAACCGTAGGATTAGAGGCACTTCAGGTTCTACAGTAAGCAAAATTAATGATAAATTTTCCCCTTTTTCCATCCCATGATACCATAACTGCTCTAAAATGTGGTTAAGGAAGTGCTAATCACAGAATATCCATACGATGGTAAATTTTAATTCTGAAGAACTTTTCAGCAGTCATCAATTTCTATCTAAGTCAAAAGCCCAGCTTCATGTACATTAAGAAAACTACAATTAACAGAAATGGTTCAACTTCAAATCAGAAAACTAACAATTTAGACATTTTTGCAGTTATTAGAAATGACTCAAGCCCAAACCTCTTTCTACTGGCAGCAACAGGTATCTTCCATTAGTTTACTTACACTGAAGCTAAATCAAACTCTGCTCTTAAAATGTTTAATGTAAGTTTTCAATTTCTTTTTTTTTTTTTCCACTTCAAAAAGTTTGTTACGCTATGTGGTAAATATGATGTCTTAAGTGTTCCACACTCTGAATTGTCAGAATAACAATACGAAAAACATACATGTGTGTGCTCATCAGTGTAAAATATTTTAAACCTTCTAAATTTCCCATATTGCCGCTCACTTTACCATTTCATAAAGGGCCTGCATATTTTGCTGCATTCACAATGCTACAAGACTTTTCAAAAGCTAATTTATCATCTGTTGTAGCTTTCACAATACTATTAAATAATTTAGTTATTTTTTTCTGAAAGTTAAAGACCTATTTCTATTCTAAGCAGCTTAAGAAATCTACTGTAAAGAATTAGAAAGGTATTAGTACGATATTAAATCCATGTGACAAGATTGCCATTCCTGCATGAATGAATGGACAGGAAAAGCCATTTTCAATCAAGATTGTCTTAATGCATTACCCCTCAGTTGTACATACCAGTACAGTAACGTCCATTTGGAGCCAGAACAAATCCTGGTTTGCAGATGCATTTAAAACTCCCATCTTCATTTATGCACATCCCATTCAAACACATGTTTGTAGTGGTACACTCATCATGGTCTGCAAAATATTGCAAAGAAAACTGCTTATAGTTCCTCATCTTCCAGAAGATGACACAGTAAAAATAAACGATCAGGACTGATGTGACGTATTGCTTCACTTGAAGATTAAATTCTACTCATAACTCTGATGCAGTATCTGAAGAGTTTTCACTCTGTAGACAAAGTAGCAAATTTTTTTCCCATTGTGATCAGTTACTTTGTGTGTTTCAACAAACTGTGGATGGAAGAACAGGGTGTGTCTGTCTTTCTTACATTAAAGGATAAAAAGCTTCAGTCACCTGATACAATTAAGAGCTTGCTGTTTATCTAGGACTTTTTTTTGCCATAGTACAGTCAAAATTAAAAACAGTTATTTCTTCAGCAGTGCTGATATATGGAGCACTTACTATGAAGCTTTAGCGAAAAATGTTATTCCTGGCACTGAGTTATCTGCGACTCTTGAGTAGAGATGTAGCTTCGAAACCAAAAATTTACCTCAAGTTTCCTTTGAAATCATGCAGTTCTGTACAGTAACTATCTGAATGCAGGGGCTCTAAGTTCACCTCAGGTCATACCTTGTTTAAAAAAAAATGTAATCCTTAATGATCCTTAATCGCAGTATGTAGGACAATTTCCAGCATCACCAAGCTAATCCCTGCCTCATTATTTAGAAGAGTTCTTACCCACACAATTTTTTCCATCTGTAGTCAGTTCAAACCCAGCATTGCAAATACACTGGAAACTTCCATCAGTGTTTACACACCGGCCATTTTTACAAAGAACACCATTCTGGATGCATTCATCTATATCTGAGGCAAAAAAAAAAAAAAAAATCACATAATTAGAAAATTAATGTAGGACAAAAATGCATATAGTGACAATTACTGCTTTGAAAAATACTGGCATGTTATTTAAATACTACTAAAAAAAATTTTCTAAAGATGGTTAAGAATTTATTCTTATTGCATCACACATAGGAAAAGTATTATTTTACAGACTTCACAATAAACACTACATTTTGTGATGCTCTGCAATTAGTTCATGAATACCTTTAAAAACCTACTCACACATTCATCTGCATACGTACATAAATATACACCTGTCATACTAATAGTCTATTTCCTGATTTTTTTGTAGAACTCCTGGCTAGTGAATTCCCTAGCCAGAGAGAGGTATTCCAGAATAACAGATAAACATTAACAGACAACAACAGAACAAATGGAATGGTAGCCCAGAACTAGAGCTCCAATTAATATACCAACTGTTCGGATTTACTGCAGTCACATTCATAACTATTTTTTGAAGTCCAATCAGATCTGACATAAGGGGTCAGAACATCTGCAATGTCAGTAGACGTGAAGCAAGTTTTCTTACCGATGCAAGCTTGCTTGGTAGGAGTCCTCTGGAAACCCGCGTGGCACTTGCAGTAATAGGAACCAGGTGTGTTGACACAGTCTCCATTAGAGCATGGGTTTGATGTGCATTCATCAACATCTGTTGGCAGCACAGAGAAGCATTAGTGAGTTCACAACATACACAACATTTCTTTCAAGTCTAGAAGTTTTCAAGTGAAAGAGACGGCAACAGTCAAATGCTAAAAAGTAAAATCTGTTCTTGGTGCAAAATCATTACTTTCCGAAGAACACCAAGCTGTGCTTAGTTCAACCAGGCAGGCATTTTTAAGACGTGAAATGCTACTACATCATTTATATGCATCTTGAAAGACAAAAGAAAAAAATGTGTGTGAGGATTTTGAGACATAGGTTCTGACAGTTGCCTAATGAAAGGGAACAACACTTTATTCAATATAGTTTCATTTAACTGAATAACCATTCATTCTTCTTCGGAATAAAAGCAATACAAATCAAAATCAGCATTTTAAAATCAGAGCAAATCATGGCATCCAAAACCTCCCCATTATATAATAGGTTTAATGTAGAAATGTGAAGAGGGGCCACACACCAGCAGGAGGGATTCTTAATGAGACCACAGTCTGTGTACCATGTCTCGATTATTTATGCCCCATTGCATCCTGAACCACAGTCTTTGCATTTGAGTGATGCCAGACTTAATCTAGCCCTTCTCTGTAAGGTACCTTACTCTCTTTTTCAATGGCTTTTGGTATATGGGTGCAATCAAACAGACTTCAATCACTTTAAATCTTTTCTGCTTAGAAATAACTCTCATTTGACACAGGGCTCTGAAAACTTTAACTCCTTTCAAGAACGCTTCCCAAATTTGATTCCCAGTGGTTATCAGTGAGTCAGCTGCATCTTTCGCAGGAGACAGCTGTTTCCAGCTCTAAAGTAACACTGACTGTTCCTCCCCATTATGCTCCTCTAAACCCTCCCAGGATCCTTGCCCTTGGTGACCCAGGGTGCAGAGCGAGTGTACCCCTCTGGTCTGGCAGGCAGGACTGCAGGCTCATTCTCTCCTGCAGCTACCAAAGGATGACCTGATCAGTTTGTCTCCGCTACAGCTAAATCCAGAGGTTACAAGCTGAATGGAACCCTTGATGAAATCTCTCTTTCTTCATGAATCACCTTTGATAATCGGACTTTTTCCCCTCCAGCTATGCCCTCCATTTCTCTTACAGGTCTGAAATTACTCTTCATTTAACCTTAATATCACAAAGCCAATGGTGATTTACCAGGTTTTTTGGTATCTGGATGTAAGCTGCCATAGGAAGCTGGGGCTAAGTAAAGCCACTGCTGATCAGTTCTTAGTAATGATGATTTTACCATCTTTTTTTTTGCAGTGTATGCTACCAGAAATACTGGGGAAAACCCAGGGTAATTTTGCTGACCATTTGTATTCACCCTTTACCAGGTCTAGTTCTAAAACTTTGTTCGTTACATTTTGGAAACAACAGGATGGAGTGAGAAATTAAACTTATAAGAATATTTATATGTTAAATAAATGTGTACTTCTAGAAAGTGTTGTTCCATGAATGACTTGATTCTAAAAAATGGCCAAAGGTTAGTTTTGTTCTAGTTTAACCATAAACAAGACCATACATTTGATAGGATTTACTGTGTTAATGCATACAGAGTAAAAACCAATCGCATCAATATACACATCAAAGAGATCTGAGTTTACCCAAATCACTGATTTAATGTGCTGCTTTACAGCACTCTTGGTGCCTAGATACAATCAGATCGTTTGGGGTAAACAAATAAATAAAGGCAAATCAAATACCTCCTCCCAAGCATATTTAGCTCATTGATATTTGCATAGTAGCTGATACCACCACTCCAGTAAAACCACAAGAATGAAGCAAGATAAAGAAAAGAGAAATTCAGAGTGTTAAATACAATGAAGAAAACAGTAACTGTATCTTTCTACTGCAGTAGACTTCTATGTGATTATAGTAGTTTCCTGTTCTCATGCTTCTCTACAGTGCCTGGCTGTTGGGATGCTCTTTCTCATGAGTGCTAGATCAGGTATTTTTTCCTAAGTCCTCAACTGATTTGGGGGGTCAAGGAGGATGGCATGTAATTCCTTCAGAACAATGTCCTCAGCTACCAACAAAATGTCAAACTCTAAATCACATTTTCACATGGATGTTTTGTCAAATGACTTAATTCAAATTACTTTACTGTATATTTATCTTGCTTTAGTATAGGTGAGGACGGGGAAATGTATAAATACTAGATATGGCACTCATCTATTCTGTTTAGTTTTCCTACAGAGAATGACATTTATGACTTTATTATAGGCTTCGGCTTGCTTCATCTGTTAAAGAAAACATGTTGATGCTAGAAATGGATCTTACTGTAAATTAATTTATAAATTATACAGCAG